AATGGCGAATGTAGATGGTAAGAGGCAGAGAGATTTGAGAAATTACGAAAAGAAACTAAAGTTTCAATTTTTTTTGTCACTCTGTTTTAGTTGCTCTGTATGTAGAATCAATATCAGCTTCGTAAAGTTTCAAACTTTTTTCCTTTTTCTTTTTCTCGGGAAACGAGCTTTAAACAAAACAAAAAAACCCACTTTCTTCTTATCTCTTTCTAGTATAGCTTCAAAGTTTACATTTTTATGCTTGTGTTTGCCTCAGAAATGTGACTGTGATTTGATTTTTTAGGGTCTTATGAGGATCAGTTATACATAGAGCTATGGAAAGCTTGTGCAGGTCCATTGGTGGAGGTTCCTCGTGCTGAAGAAAGAGTTTTCTACTTCCCTCAGGGTCACATGGAACAAGTATTTACCCAAATTTCATCTCTCTACTTTTTATTTTCTCATTTTCTTACTAAATTGTGTTTTTTTTTTTTGCAGCTTGTAGCATCGACTAACCAAGGAATTGAATCAGACCAAATACCTGATTTTAATCTTCCTAACAAGATACTTTGTCGAGTTCTTAGTGTCATGTTAAAGGTAAAACAAATTCGATCACAATTCTTGTTTTTTCCCCTTTTGTAATCTGTTAAAAATGTGTGAACTTTTCGATGTGTTAAAGGCGGAGCATGAAACAGATGAAGTTTACGCTCAGATCACATTACAACCAGAGGAAGATGTAAGTTTTTTTAGCAACAACAACAAAAAAAGACAAACTTTTTTCTTGGGGAATTGTTTATTTAATGAATTTTTGGTTGCAGCAAAGTGAACCTACAAGTCTTGATCCACCTCTCGTTGAACCAACAAAACAAGAGTTCCATTCTTTTGTTAAGATTCTTACAGCTTCAGACACAAGCACTCATGGTGGATTCTCTGTTCTTCGTAAACACGCCACTGAGTGTTTACCTGCTTTGGTAATTACTATATCTTTATGAAATCTTTTGAATTGAAGAATACTTTAGCTTGAATTCTCACTCAAATGACACTTTTTAGGACATGACACAAGTTACTCCTACTCAAGAGCTTGTCACTAGAGATCTTCATGGGTTTGAATGGAGGTTTAAACATATATTCAGAGGTATTGCCGCTAAATCTTGTAGTGTTTTTGATTCGTGGGGTTTCAGAACTTTGTTTGGACTCAATGAGACATGAGAGTTGTTGTTTTTGGTTTAGGACAACCTAGGAGGCATCTGCTTACAACGGGTTGGAGTACATTTGTATCCTCGAAAAGACTTGTAGCTGGAGATGCTTTTGTGTTCTTGAGGTACTACTTCTTCTGCAACTAAAACTTCACTGGTCTTGGTTTAGTTTCATGAACTGAATGTAATGCCTTTGTGTTTTTAGGGGTGAGAATGGGGATTTACGAGTTGGAGTGAGGCGATTAGCTCGGCATCAAAGCACGATGCCTACTTCGGTTATCTCAAGTCAGAGCATGCATTTAGGAGTTCTTGCTACAGCTTCTCATGCTGTGTCTACAAAAACACTCTTTGTTGTGTTTTACAAGCCTAGGTAATATGATCCTTAGTTGATATTTGCATCTTTGCAGAGATTGTTTTAGGACCTAGAATAAGAAAGTTTTCTTCTTTTCAGGATAAGTCAATTCATAGTAGGAGTGAACAAGTATATGGAAGCTATGAAGCATGGATTTTCTCTCGGTATCCGATTCAGAATGAGATTTGAAGGAGAAGAGTCTCCTGAGAGAATGTAAGAATCCATTTTTCCTCTGATCAGTTTTTCGATATTCGTCCAATTTGTTCCTGATTCTGAAAGCTGGAGTTTCTTCAGATTTACGGGTACGATTGTGGGTACTGGAGATCTGTCTACACAATGGCCAGCTTCTAAATGGAGATCATTGCAGGTTTGTTTAACAATCCAATGTTCTTTCGTTTTACCGGTTCTTTACCATTTTCCTAAGGTTAGTTCTTCTTCTTTTAAGGTCCAATGGGATGATCCAACAACAGTTCAGAGACCAGACAAAGTCTCACCATGGGAGATTGAGCCTGTCTCGCCAACTTCCCCTGTCTCAACACCTGCTCAACAACCACAACCGAAGTGCAAGCGGTCAAGACCCATCGAGTTATCGGTTTTAACTCCAGCTCCACCTAGTTTCATGTACAGCTTCCCTCAGAGCCAAGAGCAGACCAATGCATCCCTTAAACTGTTTCAAGATCCATCGGTTGAGAGAAACAACAGCTTCAAAGCTGAGACTCCTCCTCCTTCGCTTCCTCCCGCAAGTTCTTGCTGTAGATTGTTTGGATTTGATCTCACAAGCAATCTTCCTGCTACAATTCCTCTAGACAAGCAACCGGTCGATACCTCTGGAGCTGCCAAGTGTCAAGAACCCATCACTCCAAGCTCAGTTAATGAGCAGAAGAAGCAACAAACATCAAGGACTCGAACTAAAGTAATCATCTTTATATAACATAACAACAATGTTTTCAAATCTTGATTTCTTTGATTTTGGGTTGAAAAGGTACAAATGCAAGGGATTGCGGTTGGTCGTGCGGTTGATTTAACATTGTTGAAATCATACGAGGAGTTGATTGATGAGCTAGAGAAGATGTTTGAGATCCAAGGACAGCTTCTTCCTCGAGAGAAATGGATCGTTGTCTTCACCGATGATGAAGGAGACATGATGCTTGCTGGTGATGATCCATGGAAGTAAGTAGTAAAAATCACAAAGTACTCAACTTCTTAACAATGCATTTTTTTGTTACACAAACTCTCATGAATGTTCTGTTTTTCTTGTTGTTGTCTCTGAAAATTTGTGCAGTGAGTTTTGCAAGATGGCGAAGAAGATATTTATATATTCGAGCGATGAGGTTAAGAAAATGACAACGAAACTGAAGATTTCTTCGTCGTTAGAGAATGAAGAAGGTAATGATTATTGATGATGATATAATCGTAGTTTTAAGTGTGAGAGTTTAGCTATTAAGTTAAGGTTGTTCGGCGACGTCGTTTTAGTGACTCTGGTCGTAATAGAGAATTTCAATCTGTGTATATAAAAAAAGTCTTGGGCCTTTGTTTTCTTTTTTTGGTGTCAATTAACAAGTTGGCGATTTAATATTTCGGTTTTTGGGACAGTTGTTGATGGGTCGGTTCACATCTTTATGTACTTGTGCACCATAATCATTCAATTTTCAAAACTTACATCAATGTGTTATGGGTACCAAAGACTAAAATCTAATCAATAATTATCGAAAAATGATGAAAATCGATTATTGGAAAAGTAAACTAGTCAACGACGTTAAAGGTTTTGAAAAAAAAAACTTATGAACTCTAGTAATATATAGAGGGTAAGTAATTATAAAATCCAACTTATACTTAATTGAGCAAACCAACAAAAAAAAGGAAAAAAAAACGGAATAAATCAAATAAGCTTCCATATTGAAATATTATAATACGAGCTACCAAACCAATGTTTGTAGTATTCCATTAAAACAAAACCAAACAAAACTACAATATTCATTCAGATGTATCTCAAAACTAAAAATTAATAAATGACAAAAAGAAGTTTTAATACACGAGCGGTGTTGTAGTTGTGCCTGTACGTAGTTGGATTTATTCCGACTAATTTTCTTCAACAAAAGAGTATGGGTTTGACTTTTAGTTTTAAGGTATATATATATGGTTGTAGTGTCAACACTACCAAAATATCAAGTAGTTGGAATCTTCAATGATCTTTAACATATTATTTAATCCATTGTCGCGAGATCTTCTTTAGTAAATTAGTCTCTCAAAATGATCATAAGCAGCAACAAGAACG